ATATTTACAAAGATCAAAATCCTGTAGGCCACAGTGCTATCTATCAAGTTGTATGGAACTAAAAGTTGAATTTGAAAAAGTAAAGTAGAGGGAATATTGACACTTTTGGAACTTTGTTGTGGGAGAAGACTCCTAAGAATATAAAATTATTTTATTTTGTACACATTTATCAAAATCTGCCTTGTGAAGTCTATAATGCTGGAGAAGAGAAGTGGATGATCAGCAGCAAGATGGATGGACCAATTACATTTTTTATGGGTGTAGCTTTGGGACATCTGAAGTAACGGTTGGGAATAGATCATTCTGGAGAAAGTCTACCTGTGTAGGTCCTAACAATCAACACTGTCAATGTGTACCATCTATATTTTGTATGTCTATAGATAAAAAGAAGCAGTATAGATAGTTCTTGACTTATGACCACAATTGAGCCCAAAATTCCTGTTGTTAAATGAGACATTTGTTAAGTGAATTTTGCCCCATTTTATGACCTTTCTTGCCTCTGTTATTAAGTGAATCCCTGCAATTGATAAGTTAGTAACCCGGTTGTTAAGTGAATCTGGTTTCCCCATTGACTTTGCTTGACAAAAGGTCACAAAAGGTGATCACATGACCATGGGACACTGCCACCGTCATAAATATGAACCAGTTGCCAAGCATCTGAATTTTGATCACATGACCATAAGGATACTGCAAAGGTTGTAACTGAAAAATGGTCATGTTACTTTTTTCAGAGCTGTTATAACTTTGAATGGTCACTAAATGAACTGTTGTAAATTGAGCACAATCAGCAATTGCTTATAAATAATGCCCATTCATCACCCTAGAATTCTACAACTAGAATAATGTCCTTAATATGTTTAAGTGTTCTTAGTGATTTTAGCTGAAATGAATAATAAATAACATTCTGTTCTTTCTTCTAAGTCTGTCTTGTAAATTATTTTGAATTTGTTTGGGATATTATAACTGGAGAAAGGACTGATCTGATTATGCGGTGTCTGACGTTCGTCTTAGGTAAATACCTAGGTTATCTAACTACATTTCATTGCCTATTCATCAGGAAGCAACTGTGTACTGTATATATCACTAAAAATGTCCAAATATTTATTTTCCCTAAATGTGCCCAAAAATGGAATTGAGTAACATTAAAACATATTGTGCAATTATTGTATGGCATTCTTTGTTAGCAGGAAAACCTGTTTTGCTTCTGATGTAAGGAATGTTAAAGTAGTGCTCATAAAACTGAATATGAAAATGATTTAGGGAAGTACATTTTCTCAGGAATACCTAATAATTGGATCTTAGGTAAAAGTAAAAAATGTTTTTTGTTAAATGCAGAGTCAAGTGGTTTTAGATTTCACTTAAGTCTGCATTTGCAGAAATAACTGTATTATGGTTTTTGCCCTTCAGCAAATTATTGTAGTTAGTTTGCATATTTAAAGAGTCCAACAATTTCATTTTGTTCAGTAAAATATTCCAGATGGCGAACATTAGAAATTTTAGAGCTTTTTGGACAGAGAAACTCAGTCAGGAAAGCCACAAAAATGTAGTGTATCCCTAGAATGTATTCATCATAATTGGTTTGATGAAGTGGCTTGTTTTGGGTAATATATATTCAATTGTTCTGTCTTTAAAAAAATATGCAAATGTTTTTAAAATTATATCCAGAGTTCCTACATACTTTTGGTTAAAGTATGAAGTTAAATATAAACTACTGTATATGTTATGTGAAGTCACCATAACATTGTACTTTAAAGGATACAGCTAAAAATATCAGCATATATATTACTTTACTTTAGTGCATTTTAAATAAACTTGCTTGAATTCCTTTAATAGAGGTACAGTTCACCTTTGGTAATATACTTAATACCTTTTCACCTGTCCCCAATGACTAAATACATAAAATGGATTCCAATCCAGATTAAAATCACAGCTAAATTAATTAACTCATGAGTTAAATTCTTTTATGTGATCCTGGTCCACTTGTAGAAAAAATATTTTTAAATGTATAAATCTTTAATGCAAACAAAGAAAAAAAATATTCACCAGCGAAATAAATTACTTACTTTTTTTGTTAGATTATTAGCTGTGAATTGGAAGAGGATATTATTTTATAGTGATTGTGAATTTAATGGTAAACAATACTGTTGGAGGTGTGCATATGTGCAAAAGCAGAAAATAATGAAGTGATTGAATGTGATTATGGAAAATGATATAATTATAAAACCTTGCTTCTTTCTTGCTAATTTTCATCTCCATTTATAGAAGCTGCACCTCTGCGGCAGTGGTGGGTTTCAAAAATTTTTGGAACCTACTCTGTGGGTGTGGCCTGCTTTGCGGGAGTGGCTTGCTGGCCATGTGACCAGGTGGGAGTGGCTTGGCAGTCATGTGACCGGATGGGAGTGGCCAAGACGATGTCACTGAATTC